TTATAAATAAGTAAGATTTTATTTATTGCTTAAAGATTGTAAATATTAATAAGTTATAATAGTATTTTTTTTTTTGAATGCATTTGTATGTATGATATTATTTTGATGAGTTTTTATATATTTTTGTGACAGTTTCATTAATATGGAGGATATAATCGACGATGTATTTTAAGTTATTTTAAAAAAAGAATTGGTATGAATATTTTTAAGTCATTCTTTTTAAATTTAGGCAATTATTTAAAAAAAATTATTTATTATATAATACCTTTAGACACATATATTGACTAAAATAATATCCAAATTTACTGATCCATTATGTTTAGGTCATAATCAAATATAACTTATTTTATATATTCACATTCCTAAAACAACACTACACAAATAAGTGGGTCCGGAACTGCCTGACTTCTAAGAGGTTTTCAAACCCAAGCCATCCAATCTTAATTCTAAAATTCAGTTAATTTTGAACATGTTTTTTAAATTTAATTTTTTTTTAAACGTCATTTGAAATAACACTTTCATATGTTAAAACGTCATTTAAAATGATGATTTAAAATTAAAATTTTTTTCCTTGAAAATATTATTTTAAATTACGTTTTTAAAATCGTTATTTATAATAATATTTTTAAACATGAATTTTAAACGATAGTTTACGGGTGTTAAAAAATTGAAAAGATTGAAAATATCATTTTCAACGACGTTTCTAAAACCGTCATTTAAAAATTGCGATTCGAATGTTATACTAACCCCTTAAAATTTCCCCCAACGTTGGTTAAAAATTTTCAAACATTTCAACCACAGCTCTCCTCCTCCGCAAACGACTGTGAGCTCCTCCTCCACCAACCACTCTCAGCCAGCCTCTTCTCCAACGAGCTCCAGCCATTGTTCATCCAGCGAGTGAGCGACTGAGCAGCCATTGTTCATCCAGCGAGTCAGCCATTGTTCATCCAGACAAAGCATTCTCCATTCCAGACTAAGCGAGTCAGCGACTGAGCATTCTCCATTCAAGGCTAAATCAATTTTGCCCTAAATCGATCCAGAACACCAACCTAGAACACCAATGATTGAACACAGCTCCACCAACGACTGAGAACAGCTCCAGTCCACCGAGCTCCATCAAGTCTTCCATCCATCACATCAGAGCTCCACAGGCATTTCCATCGAGTCCGCCACCGAGTGACCATCATGGACTCGCATCAAGCAACAGGTATGATGAGTAATCAGTCATTACTCCTCTCCTACATTTGCTGGCGCTGAGTGCAGTGATCCTGATTGTAGATATGTATGAAACACGTCATAATGAATTAGAGAGCTTTTGAGATCTATAAGTTTTGTATCACTATTTCAGACAGGAAGTATTTTCTTTTCAGTACCAGGCTTGTCACTGAACCTACAATGGCAAAATAAACAAGAAGGGCAGTTAATGTTCTGAATTGCATTTATAGGATATTGCATTGACCATAATTTGTTCTTACTTGTCATCGTAAATCCCCTTTTTCTTCTTTGCACCGCTATAAGCCTCATCCCTCTGCTTTTGTTCCCCAATTTCCACATTTTCAAGCACATCAACCTCTGATTATATGATTTAAGATTCACTAAATATATTATCAAAGCATTCTATTTGTGAATTGCATGTGGCAATCACCTTACAAACTACAAAGGATATATGTGTTTATGTGTGTGTCTATATATTTATACATATACAAAACAACGTTCATGACCGAGATGAAGTTCAAAAGTCAATACCTTGTCTCACTAATATTGCACTCTAGAATGCCATACTAGTGAGACAGAGAAAACAAGAATATACCACTGAGAATAATGATAATCTCAAGGAAATATAAATTTCCAACATGAATTTTACAATATGGCATCCTAATGTTCCATGTAACATAGACAGTCTGGTGAACTCTACATTTACCAGNCAAAAGTCAATACCTTGTCTCACTAATATTGCACTCTAGAATGCCATACTAGTGAGACAGAGAAAACAAGAATATACCACTGAGAATAATGATAATCTCAAGGAAATATAAATTTCCAACATGAATTCTACAATATGGCATCCTAATGTTCGATGTAACATAGACAGTCTGGTGAACTCTACATTTACCAATTTGGCCTTTGAAAAAGTTGGATAGTCATTCAGTCAGCAAAAGATAGTTCACAACTAGTTTCACTACACAATAGCCGTAGTAAAACACTAAGAACTAGTTTGAGTGCCATATGATAGAGGAGATTGAAGAGGCATATTAGAAAAAAACTTTCACAAAATAGCTTGGTATCATATTTGGGATTCTGGTTGTTTTTATCGCACTTGGTATGTATGGATGATAAGTCTCAATGCATAAGGAAATTGAGTAAGATTTGCTATGTCTAATCGATGTTTCACTGTCTTGTAATCCATATCACCTCAAATTGAACAATTTGTGAGTTACACTGCAACTCCTTGTTTTTGTTTTGATAATTAAAACATCGTTGTGTTCCCTTAGGTTTTTATCTATGTTTCGAATGCAAAAGAAGATAATCGAAACATTGCTCTGAATAAATTTCTACTACTACTTGCCATGACTCTGAAACCCTACTTGTCGTTATCTTAATGTCTCCAATCTTAATATCTTAATCTCTGAATTTTCGGAACAGTTATTCCCTTTCTTTTTTCTTACTTTGGAGTTATGGAGAGTAGTAAACTTTGATGCAATTGGTGATATTGATTTGTTAATCCCTGGTTTGGATGAACTTCAAAATATAAAATTTCTGCACATTCACTAGTTTCTTGATATTTAAGAATCAAGAGAAAGTAACTGCTCATACGGATCTATACTCGGTTATTTCAGATCTAGGGTTTATTTTTGTAGATCTAACTTAGTCCATCATAGATCTAAACAAGAGTATAGATCTGAAATAATAAAGCTAATCTAAGTTCATGTTTCTCTTGTAGTGTTTGAGGATTGATACATGTTTTTGACTGAAAAACACTTGTAGGAACACTTAGGTCCAACTCAAACATAGGGATTATGAATTGAAACTACATCAGTAACAATCAAGTTCTTACCCATGAACACTTGATCTTTATTAACTATTAAGCAATAGGGATGACAGAATATTTGTACGTACATCTTGACATGTTTGAGTAGTATTTTAGTATTTGTACCTCTTGTTGTGTTTGAGTATTTGTACCTCCTGTGTTTGAGTATTAAGGTCTTACCCTGCTGTGTTTGATTATTTGTACCTCTTGACAGGCAGCAATGTCTTACTTCAAACTAAATTCATCACTTCATTAGTACGCACCTCTTGATTGGCATCAAGGTCTTCTGACAAGCTGGAGTAATTGATCCCCATTTGAGGCCAGCCTACGTATGGTGCTGGTGGATACTGTATCAGGAAGAATGAGGCGTGCCTGGCCTTTTTTGGGAATTTTGTCTCAAATTAGGCAGCTCCTTAGCGGGATGGCTTTTCAGTTGGGGCATGTTTATAGGGAAGCTAATGGTTGCTGATGCCTTAGCTAATCAGGCACTGCATAGTGGCTGCTCTTCTGATTTTTCTGTAAGTCAGTTTCTTGCTGCTGTCCTTCATGAGATAGTGCAAGATCAGAGGGGTTTGCCTGTGCTGAGAACTAAGAATGTGTTGGTTTTTGATGACCATGGTTGAGATGTGGGAAGCTGGAAGGTGCTGGGCTTAGTTGGTGCGGTTTTGATTTGGTGGTTGGCTGCAGATGGAATCCTTGGAAGGAGTTAGGCTGCTATGTTGATAAACCGTTTAGCTGTTCTGATGGCTGTGCTGCTGAGCTGCTCTGGTTGAGCTGCTGTGCTGCTTTGTGTGTTATGGTGGCATGCAATGATTTGGGTTTTGGAAGTGAGGGTGCTGCCATGGTGGTATTCAAGGTGGTTTTTGGGCTTTTTGAAGGATTAAAGCCTCAAAGTGTATTTTTTGAATTGTTAGAATTCTTTGCTTGTAATTCATTGATTCATTTTATAAAATTTCTCTTTTCTTTTTTAAAAAAATAATATATGTATTGACATATAATCATGTGGGTATGGTTTATCAAGAATTAAAATAAATGTAAAATATATGATATAAAATAAAATAGTTACCAAATATATTTTATGTTTTAGTTTTTAGATTTGGTAAAACAACAACTACATTTAAATACATTTTTTGTTTCAACTTTTAACCACAAAAAAAAAACAACAAAACATTGATTATATTTTTTATTTTTTTGAAAACATGCAAATGAAAACGTTACTAAACGCACTTTAAATTATGTTTTTATGAATTTTATTTTTGATTATAAAATAAGTTCAAAGTTATTGTGAAAAGGGAATAAAATTCAAAATTTTATTTAATTTTTTTTTTTGTCTGGTAAATCATTATGTAAGACATAAGGTGGAGTTAATAAGATTTTATGAAATTTATTACAGGTCGGTGACTTTTGGCTAAGAAGATATTATTGTAAAAGGTTATGGGGTCAAAAATATCATTATAAAAAGATTAAGGGATAGAAAACATCAATCTTCATAAAGGACAAGAAAAACATCATTTATAATGATATTTTTAACCCCTTTAATTTTTTTAACATCCGTTAGCTATTATTTAAAATTTATGTTTAAAAATGTTATTATAAATAACGATTTTAAAAATGTCATTTAGAATCAAGAAAAAAAATTTTAATCTTAAATCATCATTTTAAATGACTTTTTAACATAGGAAAACATTATTTCAAATGACGTTACTAAATTTTGAAATTAAAATGTGAGGGTCAGGGTTTGGGAAAAACCTCTGACTTCTACCTGTAATTTAACGATCAAATGAGACCTTACGAAATTTTGAGAAATTTCTGGAAACCTCGGCCAGAATTGAGTAGGAACCAAAAATATCACCTGACCCAAAAACACTATGACACCTCTGACCCAACAGAACAACTCTCTGAAACTTGTGAGGAAAAGTACGACCACCACCAAAGCTGAGACACGTACGCTCTGTCGTTCTCTCTAGAACTTTCCACGCTCCCTCTATATGTATCTCAGTCTCTTTCTCTCTCCTCCATACTCGAAGAACCCATCGAAAAACCTCTCAAACTAAACTACCACTAAGCAGCAGGCAATCCTCAAAGTGAATTACAAACAAACAATGGAAGGAGTGACAGTGAAGCTTGAAGAAGAGATCACATTACTGTCATGCACTGCAGCTTCATCTTCTTCATCACAAAAAAGCTTGTCATCGCCGCAACCAATGGAGGGGCTAAATGAAGTGGGCCCACCTCCATTCCTGACCAAGACCTTTGAAGTGGTTGAAGACCCATCAACTGATTCTGTGGTCTCGTGGAGCAGAGCTCGAAACAGTTTCATTGTTTGGGACTCTCACAGATTTTCGACTTCTCTGCTTCCCAGGTACTTCAAGCACAGCAATTTCTCTAGCTTCGTCCGCCAGCTCAATACATATGTAAGTCCCCTCAAACTCATCAAAATCTGTTGTTTCTTGTACTAATATCCCCAATCCATGTTGAATTCACATTGTTGCTTGTAATTTTGTTATATTGTCTTGAGTGATTACGCTTCCTCAAAAATTCGGACACTTTTCTGCTGATTTTCTTCACTCTAAGATTCTGATTGCTAACTAACGAAGTGGACGTTATTGTTTTTATATTTGTTATTGAGAAAAGAAGAGCTGAACTCTGGGTATATGTTCATATTTCTGGTTAGACAGCACTCTGTTTTCTGGTCCTAATATTCGTAAGTTGTGATTAAAAACCATTCATTTAGTTCTATTTTGATTGCAGTGTCATTTATTGTTGTTCAGGTCTCTAATCCTCTGGGTTTCATGTGAAGAAGTGTTTCTCATGATATCCAGCATTTTCACTAATAGAATCACTTTAATGGTTTCATACTAATTTCGTGGGATTTTCACTAACCGATACATAAAGTTGGTCCGTCGTTAGTATCATCTTAATTGCTCTAAGTACAGTGATTCTGATGATTTTTGAATTTCATACTTTTCTTATCTTCAACTGTGTACGGGTCTCTTCGAATTGAATTCTTACCTGAGTTTTCATCAGTTTCAGTTGATGCTCTTCCGGAATTCTTGTCTTTTGTTTGGAGATTCAAACTGGTTGATTTATATGATTGATGGTCTTGTACTTATTAGATTGTTTGGAATTTATATCTGATTTAAACTTGTTTAGGTTTTTTTCGTGGGAGTAATCTTACTGGACGTTATTGATTACTGTAAACTTCTCTTTTTTTTTTTTTTTTGAACAGGATACTGTAAACTGATGGTGTCCAAATGTTTGCAATTGACACAGGGTTTCAGAAAAGTGGATCCAGATCGATGGGAATTTGCTAATGAAGGGTTCCTGGGAGGACAAAAGCATCTCTTGAAGACAATTAAGAGAAGAAGAAATGTCTCACACAGCATCCAACCTCAAGGAGGCGGCCCTTGTGTTGAGTTAGGCCACTATGGCGTGGAAGAAGAGTTTGAAAGACTAAAGAGGGATAAAAATATGTTAATGGCGGAAACTGTGAAGCTAAGACAGCAGCAGCAGAATTCAAGAGATCAGATAAAGGCAATGGAGGAAAGAATTAAAAGCACGGAGAGGAAGCAACAGCAGATTATGAGTTTTCTAGCCAAAGCCTTTAGTTATCCTACCTTTCTGCAGCAATATGTGGACAAATATACGGACAGAAAGGAACAGGAGCGCATTGAAATTGGGCAGAAACGCAGATTAACTACAAGCCCGAGTGTCGAGAATTTGCAAGAAGTGGTATCGGTTGCAATGAGTAGTGGTCAAGCTCTGAATTACACAAGCCAAGATCAAGAAGAGCTGGCAAATATTGAGACAGAAATAGAGACCTTGTTCTCGGCTGCATTGGATGATGAATCAAGCACTGATATCAATGATTCAAAGGCAAGTGGGACCAACTTAGATCCAGTCAGTGAGACTATTTGGGACAAGATGATCAGTGAAGGTCTAATGGGTGGCAGTGAAGAGGAACAAATTTTGGTGGATGATCAACCGGAAGTTGAAGTGGAAGTTGAGGGTTTGGTTGCCAATATACCAGATTGGGGTGAGGATTTACAAGAACTGGTGGATCAAATGGAATATCTCAGGTCAGCATTCTGAAGATGGGCATCATGCTGATGAAATGGTTTCAAGTATTGTGGTGTCTTGAATTGGTCCCTGCAATTACATCCCTGTTCCTAATGTAGGGTATAGCCAATAAATTCAAATGTTTGTTCATATTTTTCTAAAAACCAAAGTTGTAACTAATATTATTATCGTTCGCTCTTGTAGCAGGGAAGGGTGAAGTTGCAACGAGGCCAAGAAATTTGCACTTGTGTATCCTTTGATTATATCTATTTATTTAATTGTTTTTTAATAATTATTTTGCACTTAATTTTGAGAAATGTCTACTTGAGATTATGTTGTTTCTCATTTTGCAGACGGAATTGTCAAGAAAAAATTGTGGAGAGGGGTCCAAATCCTTGATTGATTTGTGAAGCCATCATTCCTCTCATTTCAAGGAAGTTAGTCCTCACCCTGTTACACTCCAGTAGGAGCTCTATGTAAATTTTGGGTCCCAACACATAGTAAGTGAAACATTTTGCTTCTTGCCTCATCTAAATCATTTGCCTTCCTCGCGTTGCCTCATCTAAATGAAACATTCTTGTTCTCCGTACATTGTAAATCATGTGTTTCATAGTATTCGTTTAAAATGTTATGTTTGCCTCTGCAGCTAGTTTTGCCCGGTGAAGAATTTGTTGATCTAATGGTGGTGGGCGGCTGGATCATTAATGCTGGTATTTGCTGAAGAACTTTGGTTTGTGGATGTTTAATGGTAGGGCAAACTTCAATTTACCTTCCTGTAGTATACCACAAATGCACGTTGCTCCCTATGATTTAAAATTATACCACAAGTGCACATTGCTCCTTATGATTTAAAATTAGTTGTGCTACTTAGACTGCACAACTAATTTCTTGATGACAAAAATGGTCTTGTATTGTTTGTGAAATTACAAAATACTTTATATTGTTCATCATCTTCATCCTTCTGACTGTGTATCCTCTCTCTCTCTCTCTCTCTCACTCTCTCTCTCTCTCACACACACAAACCCACACAAACCCATACACACACACACATGTTGTGTGGGTTGACGAAGACTTTTATGCTTTGTTAGCTACACACACATGTTTAGTCAACCTAAGTTTACTGGGCCTTTTATGCTTTGTTAGCTACATACTGTGATTTTCTTTTTCTGGCTTTGGGGGCTATAAAATAGTTTTATATGAAGCATTAAATATACATAGATTTTTTTGTTGGCCTACCTTCACTGCCTACCTTCACTATCATGAACTCAGTACAATTAACTTATCATAATAACAACTCTATTGACATTGCTCACTCTTGAGTCTTTCAACTTCAGTCACCAGATATGCTGATCCAGTTCCTAGAAAATAAAATTTTAAACGGAAGAAAAGAAAAAATAGAGACAAGCTGTCAAAAAATATGAACTGCTCAATGATCTCAAAAGCAAGGAATGATGAAGAATGACATTTCATTTTATCTTCAATAAATATGGATTACATTTACATTCTTTTGCTACAACATATAACATGTACAAAAAAGCACAACACATGTATTGAGAATTCAACAGAGAAGCGTGGTGCCTTGTACAAAGCCAATTGGCATAATCTTCAGAAATACTTTACCAACAAATCTCCAAATAGTATGAAAAAATTTGATAGCTCACAAATTTGTGTATGTATGGCTATTTTACCTTCACCCTTTCTTTCTTCTCTCTTCTTCTCTTCACCGTGTTGTTTCTGTGTATTTTTCTATGTTCATAGAGTAATGAGACCTAACGTTTCCAATAACAGATTCTAAGTATATTCGATGCACTTTCTTAACACATTCAATTATGACTACTCAATAAGGGTTTTCAATACACCTTACCAAATCATGGATCCATATGTGGACGTTTTCAATTTGGCTAACCTTGAAAGGAAATATTATGGAGCATGCAAGCTTGCTTAACAATCAGTTTAATGGTCGTGGGATGCTTCCAGGCTACAAAAGAAAAACGATCACTATATCCTTCCAGTCATTCAATCATTAAATGCCAAACTAAGGCTCCTGCATTGGCCTCCCTCTTCCTTGCAGACTCGGACATTTTATCATAGACCATTTTAAGCAGAACATCTCTATCATATGCTCCTTTACTCTTCATACCCAAAGGGCAGAAAATTTTTGTTGAAAGGATCGGCTTTTTCAACACATATAGACCATCAGTTATTTAGTGTCCACCCAATGATAGAGAAAATCCATTTCTGTTTCTAAATCTGCACGTGAGATCCTACAACATATAATTATGATAAAATGGTTTGCAGGGGAGTTGGAATTTTATATAGTATGAGCTACAAACAGTTTTCTGGTGTATTGATGAATTGTTTTATCTTTGATCCTACTACATTTCCTCTTGAGAGCCTCCATAAATTAATAGTTCAATGTAATATCTTTTAAGTCAACTCTTGTGAATGCTTTTGTTTCGGTTTTATGATTATCGATTATGACTGGTTCTAACTTGTCAAGGAAAAAAGATTATGCATGATTTAACTTCTAAAAAACCCTTGAAACTGTTGCAGCAAAATGGATAAACAATTGATTTCCTATAATGAGAGAATATGATTAAGTGAGTTGGTTATTGTTAGAGTTTTCTTTTACCTATTTCTTTTTTGAATTTGAAGTTGGTTTCATACTTGATCAAAAAAAAAAAAAAAAGTGGGTTTCATATATTTTAATCAAAAAATGGGTGTTAAGTCCAAATATATGGCTACTGCCATTGCTTCACCTATGCTCACTCCAACCTATCTGTCACACAAGAAAATGTATGAACCCATATATATTGAAGGACTGTATGATGTTTTATTAGATTTTGGAATTATTTCCAACGCATTCATTTTCTACCCCTTGATTTCTCTTAGAAAACTTCATTTCCTATAGTTTCTCTGTTGTTAATATATTGGCCATTGTGATCTTTAAGCTCAATTTGTACAGTTTTTCCTACAACTGCAGGGCAGGTGCAATGCTTTCATATTGTAAATTCTCCAGCAGTTCATCTAGCTAAACTTAATGTTTGGGTCATTAATGTAATAAACATTCATAGGTAAATTCAGCAGCACGTGCCCCATAAACTGTATTTTTTTTTTTCTCATTGGTATTGCCTTTACTATAATTTTCCTTCATTTTTTTGATACTTCGCGAAATCGGCAATTGGATTGTAATTCAAGTGATTGGAAGCTTTTATAATTGGTTTGTGAATGTTTCTTCTGTTTAGTAATTGGAGGTTTTTTGAATTGGTTTGTGAATGGTTTTTTTGTTGTTCTACATTGATAATTTTGTGTAGTTATCCTTAAATTGTCATTTATCTTTTCTTTTAAATTGAATACATAGTTTAATTATAGCATTTCTGAACACTTGGTTTAAGAGTCGAATAATTGAATACACAAGTACTGTTGTCACCAGTATTATGTTGTACTGCTAATGTTTGGAGTGGGGATATTGCCAATACTACTATATGGTGATCATGTCCTGTACGTTTGTGCTTAAAATGACTTATTTTGATGGAAGTATGCTTCCTAATTTTCTTTTAGGTATCGGTTTTTGTAGTTCAACTTCGCAGTTCCTTTGTCAATGTTTACCTCTTTTTCTTTCATTCTCTGTTTTTGAAATCATTATCTGTGGGCTCTGTTTGTTTGTGGTTCATCTTCTTAACTCTGCAATACTTTTTTCATACAATGGTTGGTTTTCTTTTCATGACAATATTCTTTGTTTTCCTGACCATATATGCACAAGAGTGTGTAAATTTACCACAGTTCTGCATTGATCTTGTTTTGTAACCTCTGTAATTTCTATTCATTTTCTTGAAAATGCAATAAAAGTGTGCATACTTTCATAGGCTACAAGCAGTATTATCCAAAGGAGCTTTTAATCTTCATAATTCATTTGACTTCGATTTTTCCAATGAGTTTTTTTAAAATCTTTCTTGAAGAACAATTGTAGTGGGAATAATGCAATAACTACAGGTGTGGGTGAATTATATATTCATGAGTGAATTTTTTTTTTATCTAAACTGTTGATGGATTTGAGATTTTGTTAGTTTTTCACTTTTTTCATTTTGGTTAAGATCAATTATTTTAGTGTGAGTAGAATTCTTATGAATCCATTAGCAAGATGTGAAAAATCTAACTATTGATGAAATTTGAGCAAATTTGTTTTGTTGTTATATTGTTATTCTGAGGATTATCACAATGGTAAAGTTGGTCACAACTCGCAAAGGTTTTTACTTAAGATTGAGTCAAAGTTAGCTGTAGGCAATTTAATGTTTACTTTGTGGGTTATTTTCTTTTTTACATAAATATGATTGTGCTACATGTGTAGTTGTGTTGTGGTATGGTGTGCTCAATCTAGAGATTCCAGAAGATTGTTCTAACTTCAAACATTGGTCAGTTGGAGGACATGCTAGAAAAAAATGAACAAATAATTGATTACTTGTTCTTGAGGCCATCCTATAGAAGTGTGGATATTGCAACTATAATCTGTAAACAATGGATATTATAGCCTTATGATAACCGTACTGATTATACTAAACTTCTGAGAAGAAATCTTATTGCCTCTAAAAGAAACAACCAAAGCTTTTTGTAGCTGGTAATGTATGAGCCCATAAAGGATTTCTTAATTATATTAATGATACTAAACTTGTAAGTATACTTGTATTCTAACTTAAAGTAGTACTTCTTTGCTCTTTCCTGCTATTGTTGTCACTTACTCATAGCTTTTTGGCAGTGTAATCCTATTCCCAATAGAAGTCACTTTCTATATACCATGGTTTTTTAATCACTTTGTGGATGGTATTTTTTCTCTCCAATCTATGCACAACTAGGAATCGGTTTCTTTGGTAAGTGTGTGTGCGTGCAAGATCCTGCATAATATAATAAACGAGAACAAATCTCTCCCTTGGTGAACTTCGAGTGAGCCCGTTGAGTAACCAAACACGCTGCTTGGGACGGCCCGCAAGGTACGGTGGCAACCTGGAACGGCAATGGGAGATCCTGGGAACGGAAGAATGATCCAATAAGGATGAAAAAGGTTCCTGGAACAAAGAAGAACAAGTTAGAAGGGCGCCGGAGTATTTTCCGGCATATCCCCTCCGACGATCTAGTCAGTCTTTGAGAGAGAGAGAGAGAGAGAGAGGAGAAAACACTGAGTGTGTTGTGTGTATTGTCGTAGAGAGTTTGTTGTTGCGTACCCGCTTTGCCTTTTGCAAGGAGTATTTATACCTTAAAAGCTCATGATTGCTGTCAGTGTGGTCAGTAGGTGATCATTAGGCACAGGTAGCGTGCGCATTGATTCTGATGAGGAATGTCTTCTCTAATTAACTGCTCGGGGTCCCGAGCAATCAATGCTGGGTCATCGGGATGCCGACGGTACAATGTGCTCCTCTCGGGGAGGATGCAATAAATGCTCTGTAATAGGAGCATTTATTGCCTTTCATTTCCGAGCCTTACCGCATTGAATGCGGTCTCATCAAGGGAATGGTGCAATTAATTGTTTGCTTTCCCAAGTCGCGTGTCAGCAACGACATGCGGTTTGTCTGTCTCTGATGTGATATCATATGCCACGCGTCCATCCCCTATTGGCTGTGACCTCTGTATTCCAGTACGTTCTGACATTACTTGTGTAAGACGAGGTCATGATGAATAGCCTAGACTAGCCTAGGCTAATGACCTGTACGTCAATAGCTTATCCTGGAGTAGAGGAAGCGTCCAGGACGGGGTACCTCTCGGCACCGAGGAAAGGCTCATCTCGGAACCGAGGGAGGTATACCGACCGAGGTACCATATCAGACCGAGGCTACGTGTTGGTTGTAACTCGTACTGAATGCCATGATCCTATATGACGAGTACCTCGGGGGCGAGGACCTTTATGCGCCGATGGTGCTTGATCTTAGCAACAGTGTTTTGGTAAATACCGAGGACACGTGTCTTCATCATGGAGTATTTCAGAAAAGTCCCATCAACTGCCCCC